TTTACTTTCGAAAAATAACTAATTTCTGATTTAAAAAAAATCATGCCGTTTTCCCACCAAAATCAAAGCCAAAATATCGCAAACATCGGCAAATCACTTCCGCATTGCGTTCTTACATTATTTAAATGAGCTATGGTAATTTGATCACGTTGGCATCATCCAGCATTTTGATTGGTTAATTAACGACTTGACCTATCAGGTCAAAAAACGCGTTCCAGGTCAAGTCCTAGACAGGAAGCATGAAAGACATCGAATCGCGCCGAGCGTTTACATGCGACCAGAATCATTCGCTTACGATGAAATTAAGTTGAATTTTACTTGCATTTTATTTTTTGTACGTTATTATAACTACTACTGAGTAATAATCGTAACCGTGGAATGCAGCATGACCGGATTTTGCTACCGTGATCATTGACTACTAAGCATTGAATTTGTGTTTGTTTTATTTTTCTGTTGATTGTACGGCAAACTGTGAATGTTTTCTAAAGAATGATAATTTTTGTATAACTTTCTAAACACTTCTGAAAATGGGTCATTTACTCAGTATTTAAAATAAAGGCTACAGTGACTAAGCGTCAGACTGTAATGTAAAATATTGTCAATAATCTATCACCAGAATGGAGCAAAAACAATGGCTTGTAACACAGTTACCGGTACTAGAACTTGAAGTGCTTGAAATAAGCGCCATTTGAAACAAAGTTGCTCAAATTTAACCACAAATAAGCGCCACCATGACATGAAAGTGTAACAAAGTGGCGCCTAATTGAAGACAAATACGGTAGCATATTAAATGTTTTATTTTTAGTCTCCGTTTGGTGAACCATGTTCCCCAGATGAAGCTCCTACTGCCATTAGCAAAGCAGTTGCAAGTCTACCACCAGAACAAATGTATGAACTTATGAAACAGATGAAGGTATGTCGCAAATTATTCTCATGTAAGACATGCTAAATAAGACTATTGATCAGCTACAAATACACATCTCATCACATTGTAGTAAGAATATGACCTGTGTGGGTCCAGCAGGGACTAAAATTGGATGTTACTGTGAGGGTTAGGGTGATTATTGGATTGGGACTGAGCTGGCAGGGTGTAAGAGTCGGATTGGATGGGACTGGGGATGTGGAACTGGGAGTGGATAAGACTGGGGATGTAGGGGCTAGTAGGGATGTTGGGACTGGAGATTGAGTATGTGGCCCGGTATAGTGTAGAAATGTGGATGGGTTTGACAAACTGGAAATTGGAAGCCAGTGCAAGTGGATAGAACCCAGGAGAGTGTGATCTAGAAGAATATAGCACTTGGATGGTGAAGGACTGATATTTGATGGGACTGATTATATGATGTGAGTATTAATCATCGTCATCGTTATTGTTTTGTTTTCAGATGGTGATTCAGAATAATCCTGTTGAAGCTCGTAATATGTTACTACAAAATCCGCAGTTAGCATATGCTTTATTGCAAGCACAGGTTGTGATGAGAATTGTTAGTCCTGAAATTGCTATGGTATGTACTGTTATGACAGGAAATTTGTGTACTCGTACTCTGAAGCAAATATTTTAATCATAACCATAATTTTTCCCCAAACCATATCCAAGGTAAATTATCATAAAATGAAATGAGCGTTCTTTCAAATGAGTGAGAGCAATGCAGCAGTTTCGGATCACTGAGTTCTGTGCATATGAATGAAGCACATATTTACCAAATTTTCATTAATTTTCAGTTTGAAAAATTCTGTTACAAATTTCAAATTGTACAGTGAAGGACAAATATCTGGGGACATTATAAATGTTTTCTGTTAGATTTCCGATTGACCAATCATTATGTCATAATTACTATGAATGAACATGAAATCATCCAATCAGAAAGCACCTCATTTTGAATAAGTTCGAAATAGCAGTTGCTATGTCACAAGAAGGCACGCATGTTGACATTGACATTGTTGAGCTCTTGAAACAATCACCATTATATATTTGAATTTGAGTGAAAGCTTATGAGTCTGTATTTACCAATTTGTATGAATATGTTTATAAACTTTCTGCCCCTCCCTGTATACCTTTCAATTTGTAGAGTCATGTTTTATTTTGTTTTACAGGCTATGTTACATAAACCTCAAACTCAGGCACCACCTCTCGAAACAGGTGGGCCTGGCCCAGCCCCTGGTCAACCTATCATGCAAAATCCTAACATGGTAAATATTTTTTTGAATCCTTATTGCTGTGATAGAATCTAGCTTTGGTATAGTGCATGTGTAAGGTTTTCATGTTTATATTTTATTTGTAAAAGATTAGAAAGTGTATGAGTATTGTAAGCAAATTGGTAGTTGTCAACATACTGCCAAATAAATGAGTGTCGATCTTTGGCTTAGCTATATAACATGCAATTCAGTATCTGTCTCTTACTGTGACACTGTATATAGAATGAGCCTCTGGCTTTTTCAGCTGTGAACAGGTCATAACAAAAAATGATGACTATGTGTAACTGCAGTGGTGTTTCCAGCATTGAAATGGCTTTACTAACTCTTGTTAAAAGTAAATTCTTTTTAGATAAACAAACATTACAAACACGAGTATGAGAATGGAACTGCTATGTTATGTAAATGTAATCAGTTCTTACATTGTTAGCATTTCTTGATCATTTTCAGGTAGGTCCGGGATCTAACCAAGGAATGCCTGTGAATTCTAGTGCACCTATGCAGCCACAAGGACCACAACCACTGATGGCCATACCTCAACCTGCTCCACAGCAACAACCACAAGGGCCTATGAATTCAGGTGGTGCCATGCTTTCAGGCCAGTTATTAGGTGACAATTTTTTCAACATACAGCTAGAGTGCTGTGGTAGAGTTTAATCATTTGTAAAAAATACTTTTTTGTTTTCTGGTCGAGTGTGCCACAGACTCAAATGGGAGGGGGGGGGGGGGGGCAAAAGCCACTGTACCCAAGGTCTGAGTACAACTCACTCAATGGGGAGCTGATCAAAATCAAACCAGTAATTGAATAAAAACAAATATTTCGCAATAAAAAAACATAGTGAATCACACTAAAGTAAAAAAAAAACTTGCACTTTGTCAACTACCAATACATGTACACATCCCTGTATCGTGCACCTTCGCGTAGATTTCACAAAATTACCATCCCTAAATATTTGCGATGTCATGTTGATTTGTTGATGTAAGACAAAACAAAAATATTTTGTGATCTAAGATTGGTGTATTTCTTTAGTTTAAATATTGTTTGTTTGGGACTGCTCAAATTGATAGTTTGTTTTATTTTACTAGGTCCAGATCCAAGAATGAGTATGACTGGCAGTCAGGGCCAACCTATGGTAGGGGGTCAAGGGCAACCTATGGTTGGGGGTCAAGGTCAACCTATGGTTGGGGGTCAAGGTCAACCTATGGGTGGAGGTCAGGGTCCATCTATGCCTGGACCACCCATGGGGATGCAGCAACAACAACAACCACGACAACCACCACCTGCACAGCTTAGAGGAGGTTTATTAGGCGATACACCATTAGATCCACGACCCCAACAAGATCCAAGAGGTAAGATTGTCTGTCTGATATTTACAGCCTCCATTTCCAAGAGCACAAAGTTTACATGATGGAATATTGAATGTAGTGTACAAACGATGGCTTAAACAAGACTGTAGTGTCTATGCTTAAACAGATTACAAATTTATTGTATACTGATTCCTTAGATTCCTGATTTCTCCACTCAGTTTTCTTTGTTTGAAATTAAATGTAAGTGTTAATTCCAGGTCGTCCTGATCCGAGACAAGTGGATCCACGAGGTGGTCCCGGCCCTAGAGGACCTGGTGGACCCCCACAAAGAGGACCTGTACCTGGGGTAAGCACATATATTTTCACATGTCCAAATAAGATTCAAGCAAATGTTGCTCGATTTTCTTTAAACTCAGGAACATCAACCATTATAGGTAGCTTATGAATGTCATTTTGATATTTGACTCAAAATAGCCGATCGCCGGCCATTTTGTTTTTGAGAAATTGTATTTCAGACATGCTTATATGTCTAATAATTCTCAATTATTAACAGATATGTGTTAAAGTAAAGAAATCATTAACAAGTCTGTTTTACCATTTCATATAGGGTCCTCGCATGTCACAAGCGCCACCAGGATTAAACATACCAGGTTTCAGTCCCAGTGGTGGAGGCTCCCCATCCCAAAATATTACAGCACAAGACCAAGAAAAAGTAAGTTAATATCAAGTAATAACTGTCTTTTGGCAACTATCTGAGAAGTTCTTTTGAAGAAATGTTTAGTTCATGCATAATTTATAATCCCACATGTTCTCCCTTATTTTGACTTCAACAGACAGATATTTATTGTCAGATTATTATCATTATTAGCAAAAGTCTTATGTTTTCTATATTTGTGTTATCTTTCCTCACAGGCTGCTCTAATTATGCAAGTTTTACAGTTAACACCAGAGCAGGTTGCCATGTTACCTCCAGACCAAAGACAGAGTATTATGATTTTAAAAGAACAAATAGCCAGAAGTACAGGACACCCTTAAAAATATATTTTTTTCACAATATGTTAGACTCAAAAGCATGTTTTCTGAATCTCTATCATGTCTTTAGTGTATTGTCATTTTTTGTTTTTATTTCTTCATGTTTTGTTACTGTTGTTGGAACTGCCACATTTTCATTCATAGTGCCCTCTGACAGTGTGATGCAGAAAATCTTTCTTTTTTATTAGGACAACAATTACCAAATATTATCTACTATATATTCTTTTTTATTGGTCAGCCTTAAAGGCAATCTGATTAAGCAAAATCTATCTTAAAATTTTGCTGGTTAACCATTCACACATATCCGACCAACTCCAAAGCATAAACAGGCGATCAAAGAATGTTCTACTTGTACTAGAATATACCAACATCAATAATATGTACATACAGTGCAGCACTTGTTGTTTGAAATGCACATTCTGCATGGATTTTCAAAGTCGTAACATTTGAATAAGACTCCCTGTTGGAATTTGTCACATTTTGCAAAAACGAAAGAATGAATTATTATACTCAAAAGCTGTAATAATATAACTCAGACAGTATGCGGTCGCATCAACCTCTGCTGCACGTTTGTCGATACTTCTGCTGTACTGTCTTTGTGCATACTTTGCAGTATCCTCGTAATAACCTTATAATACATCTTTTCCTCCTAGGAATACATCATGGGATTGTCAAAATCTAAAACATTTAGAACAGATTTAGCAAACTTCTTTGTGTGAGGTCTGGTCAAACTCTGCAGCCATGTTTGTTATTATTAGAGGACACTTACGCAAGTAATCGTTCCATATTTTTATGAAAATACCCAGTGCAATACGGCAAAATTACAGCACGCTGTAATATTATAGCGATACTGTGACAGATGTATAATAATAGATTTTATTATAATCTGATTGCCATTGAGGCAAACTTTGAATACTGTAGAATACTTTATTTTCGCTTGGAATTTATTTTCGCTGAAGGGATGATTCCGTGAAAATAAAATCCAGCGAATATACTTTTTTTCCTATATTTCACATTGAACTCATGAAAAATCAGTGAAAATAAATTTCAAGAAAAACGCCCAAAAAGCCTTTTCAGCGAAAATTAATTCCAGCGAAAATAAAGTATTCCACAGTATTAGTGATTGCTCAGTTGTCAATTAACTGCCTTTTCATATCATATTAATCCGACGACAATAAATATACGTTATTTTTTGTTAAAGACCTTGTATTTTGAAAAACATAAACTCCTAGAAAACGTCTATGAAGTAACAGCAAAGATTTTCAAGCTTGTTTATCGGCACAATCAATTTGTTTTCCCATCAAGGTCTGTTTTAACATGTGTAGGGGCATCCAAATGTGTAAGGCTATTGGAAACCCCCCCAAAAAAAGGAATGGGATAGCTATATTTGGATAAATTTGGCATATGAAAACACCAAAATCAATGATTTTTTTTCAGTGGCTGTGTGACCTTGTGTCTGACACATTCATATGCAAATGACTAATCTGTGAAACAAACAGGGGCGGAGACAACCCACTCAAA